CCCCCCCCCCACTTGGAACTAAATCCAGATGGACATTTCTTCCAACAGGTGGTTTTTCCAAAAAGCAATGGAACTTTCTTGATTCCTTCCCCCCTCTCGCTTTTAAATCATTTCGCTTCTCATCCAAGAAGCTTTTTGGATGAGAAGCGAAATGTTTTCAAAGGGGGGAAAAATACAACAAATCAAGTTGCCTTTTGGAAAAATCACCTTTGGGTCTCTGAACGCAAAGCTTTGAGCTCTAAGAAAGTGACTTTAATTCAAGGTTAAACCTTCAATGAAGAACATTTTTTAAAAATAGGATGCTTTTCAACAATTTTATGAGTTGTTACATCTATTTGCTGCCCTTGGTTAGAAGTAAACTTTCTCATGTAAACCAGAAGAGGGCTTCCTTGTTCCAGTATGTGGAAAATTACTGCCAAGGACGGGAACAAAATGTGCTCAATTTGTATTATACAGTTTTACACAATTCACACTTTCTGACATTTATGCAGCAGGCAGCCACGTGTGATTCTAAATCTGTTTTGCGAATGAGTATACAAAAACATATGGGATCAATAAACGTGTTAAGGAAAAAGTATGCAAAAATATGTCCGTTAGATTAAACTACCTCGAACTTAACTGAAGATGGAAATAACTTCTCAAAACTTAAGTTGTAGCTCTGGGTAGTCCTCAACTTACAACTCCAATCGGGATCACAATTTCCCTTGCTAAGCAAGACAATTTTTAAGTGATTTGCACTCAATTTTACTACCTTTTCCCCCCATAGTCCTTAAGCGAATCACTGCAGTTATTAAGTGAATAATGTGGTCATTAAGCCAATCTAGCTTCTCCCATTGACCTTGTTGGTCAAAATAGAATTACAGCACACATTACTAGAGAAAAGAAGGACCAGTGTAAGTATAATCTTTATTGTCATTGTACATAAATACAATGAAATTGGTTCCCCACTCCCCAGGGGGAAAATGATAGCAGCATTCCAGTATTTGAGAGGCTGCCACAAAGAAGAGGGAGTCAAACTATTCTCCAAAGCACCTGAGGGAGAAGAAGCAATGGGTGGAAACTAACCAAAGAGAGAAACAACCTGGAATTCAAAACAGTGAGGACAATTAACCAATGTTTAAAGGAAATGAATTCAAGACTTTGCCCATTGCATCTCAATCCTTGGTCAGCTACACACAATTTGAAGCTTTGACCAAAAGAACCAGAGAAAGCTCTTCTGTTCTGATCAAGGCTTCCCAAGAGCATGAAGCAAACTCCTAGTCCCAACAAAAAACCCTTTTATTAATTTGCTGTGAATTCTGCTCATTCACATCCAACAAAGCCTTTTCAAGGGAGGATTTACAGTCACAGACCTTATCTGGCTTGGAGAGCTGCCAGGTCGATATCTGCAAAACTCGGCAAGAAGTCTCAGAGAGTCACGAGCAAATCAATTGTCTCCTGCAAACTCCACTCCCCTTTCACCCCTCTTTTATTTTCTCTGGGAGGGGCCATTCATCGTCGATCTGTGGCCTTACTCCCAAGTCGACCCCTGTTCTTTAGCTGCTCCCTTCGTCTGGCAACTCTGCGCATGCGCACTCTGGGAACAGGCTCCAGCTGTTCGTCTGCCTCACTGATGTCTGTCTCTGAAGGCAGCTGATAACTGTCAGACGGCCCTGGCCCCCTCTCTGCCTCCGACACAGAGCCCTCATCAGAGCCTTCCCCAGACTCCAGGACTGGCCCATGTTCCTCCCCAACCTCCTCACTGTCCAAATCTGCTGCCAGCTCTGCTGGCCACTGGCGGGCCTCAATATCTTCTTTCTGCAACACCAGCTCTGCCCCTTTCCTGCACGGGTGCAGTGTTGCAACATACCTACCAAAAAGATGGAACTTGTGTTGCTTTGGATAACTGTACCATTACACATGCGCTGTTAGGGGCACAAACTAATTTTTCACACTGCAATCAAACCATAATGTGGTTTGTGTGGCTAGTTAATTAGATGAGCCCAGCCACTGAGATTTATTCTGTAAACCAGAATTAGACAAACCATGGTTTTAATATGATTTATGCATCCGAAGAATTGAGATCTTTATCTTACCTGGTTACCTTTGGGTCCCGAAACCCCAGTAGGACCCTGGAAACAAATAAAGAAAAAGCATGAAAAAGAATTGCCAGAAACAATTGACCAGCAAGTTACTCAAATCGCAAGGACACAATATAAATAAGTACCGTATTTTTCGGAGTATAAGACGCATCAAGGTTTTGAAGAGGCAAATTTAAAAAAAAAGTTTGTGTACTCTGCAAACCTCCCCAAAACGGCCCGTTTTTCATGAAAAGGGACCCGTTTTCCACCCCAAAAAGGCATGAATAGCCTTTAGGGGGTTTGCAGAGTGGTCCTGGGGGATGTCCCCCCAAAATGAGCAAAAACCGACCCATTTTTGTTAAAAAATTGCAGGAGGCTTATAGGAGTATACCTGGGAACTGGAGGAGGGCAAAATTGAGCAAAACACAGCCCATTTTTCACTCAATTCTGCCCTCCCCAGTCCCCAGGAGCTCTCTGAAAGCCTCCTAAAGGCATTGCATGGCCATTTTGGTGAAGGGGGCGGGGTTTCAGGAGGCAAAAAATGCTGCATTCAGTGTATAAGATGCACCCAGATTTTCACCTTCTTTTTTGAGGCAAAAAGGTGCGTCTTATACTCCAAAAAACACAGTACCTTTTGGATTAGGTAAGCCTATGTTGGAATGGTTTTTTAAAATTATTTACTTATTTATTAAATTTGTTTGCCGCCCCTCTTGCCACACAGTGATTTAAAATAATCTCTTCTAACTAATTTTATTGCTTACATTTAAAACAGTATTTGGAGCACTTTTGCAATAGATCGTGTTTCTCACCCGTGGCAATTTGAAGCAATGTGTGGACTTCAACTCCCAGAATTCCCCCAGCCAGGGGAATTCTGGGAGTTGAAGTCCACACAGCTTCAGGTTACTAAGGGTGAGAAACACTGCAGTAAATGCTGGGGGCGGCATGCTCCACCCATTTCATGTTCTGTTCTAAAATGACATCCCATGCAATGAATCCACAAATGTGGGTGGAGCTGCCATCAAGCCCCGCCTTCCACCCAACAGGTGTTTCAAAACAACTGGTCTTTTAAAAAGGCTTTTCTTAATTTCTCTAACAGAGAAAACAACAGTAATTATTTTTAAGAAGGTTTTTAAGAAGTCCCATTTGTCCTGAATGGTATATAGGATCTCCTTCTTGAGCAGGGGGTTGGACTACATGACCTTCAAGGTCCCTGCCAACCCTGTTATACTGTAGCTGATAATTTAATAACAGTAACATCCAATTGTAACTAACTAACAGTAGCTTAATAACAGTAACAACTAACATCTATGCAGTAGGAAAATCTTGCTTTGCAGCCATCTTTCATCAATGGAAATATTTTAAATTGATTCTGTAACTTAGATCAGTGTGGTCCCCAAACTTTCCAGCTTGGCCCTGCGCGGGGGGGTGGGGGTGGGTGTGAGTGGCAGGTGTACATGCATGCATGCACAGCTCCATTTCTGTGGGGGGGGGGGAAGTGCTCCATTTGTGAAAGTACAGCTTTGCGCGTGAGCACAAGCACCAGGGCCGGGTTTTCCTATAGGCTAACTAGGCTTCAGCCTAGGGCCTCAAGATCAAGAGGGGCCTACATTCAAATTG